TGATAGTTTTTTTTTGACGAAAATGGGAAATCTTGGTAGATTATTAAGTACCCACAATATTTTTTGCAGAAGTACGACATATTTCAATGAGTATATGTTATATATAAACTAAAGAATCATCACTTGTCGTAATTTATGAAGATAAGATCGGTCAGCTAAACTTGGACCATCATAATGGTAAAGGAGAATACATACGAGTTTCAGAAATGAATCGACTGAACTGATTTTTTGTATTCTTTAACTTAAATTTACTGTCTGACCAAATGTGATATGGTAGATGTACTACGAAAAAGAAAAATCGAAAAAACGAAACAATTTTCTATGGAAGATAAGGATCTTGATTATCAACTACCTTATGATCCTTCCATTGATAAAGAAAAGTTAAACGAACAAATAACTGCTTTGAATAGTTTTCTTTCTGCTTGTGACAGTAAAAGAAAAGTGAGTGTAACAACGTCTTATAAGGATTTATCACATCGTGTGAAACTGAGATATGTAAGTTTAGTAAAATTCATAATGCGATCAGCTACATTATTGATGGCATCGAATAATGCTGATAAAGGGTGGTCCAGAAGTCCTGACTCGATTTGAATATTAAATTTTTCTTGAGCAAAACACATGGTTGAAAATTTGTCTCTATGAAGAAAAGATGCAGTAAAACACGCTCTACAAAATGGCTTTTGATTGACCCTGCTAGCGCATACAGTAAGAAAGTTATAGGCTTAGAGATGTGCTTCACAAAAAAAGAAAAATTAACGGTGAACCCGATATCGGTATTTTTGCTCGAACTCCTGTTCCATAGGTCGCCTAGAACAAATTCGTTTTTTTAATAGAAGCGCCATGAAATTCTTTACAAAAACATATCTGAACTTTTATTTCAGAACTTCAATCAAGAAAACTAAGGAAATTATATGGCAGACGAAAAAAATGAAAACATGGTAAATTCGGTATTTTTTTCAGCCGAAACTTTTTCTTCTCTTATTATTTCCGTGAAGAAGCTTAGCAAAAGTGAGAACTGAGTTTGAGTTCGATAGATTTGAATGTACTATTTCTCCTGGTCTGTAGAAAGACTTTTTTAGAGCAGATGGTGTGCTCGAGAATGAAGTCTCAAAAGTGGCAAACCCGGTTCCCGACAATATACCCAAGCAAGAAACAGAAAACATGATGGAAGCTTGATTTTGTAGTCAGTTAGAGAAGAGCAATCATTTCTGATTAAAACAGAACAAACCTGATCGAAAATTTTTTTCGTTTGATGAAGTTACGGGACTTTTACTTAAAGCAGATCATACGAAGAAGGTTCATGGTTAATTTTTCTTTTTTGTGAAGTACATCTCTAAGCCTATAACTTTCTTACTATATGAGCTAGCAGGGTCAATCAAAAGCCATTTTGTAGAGCGTGTTTTACTGCATCTTTTCTTTATAGAGACAAATTTTCAACCATGTGTTTTGCTAAAGAAAAATTTAATATTCAAATCGAGTCAGGACTTCTGGACCACCCTTTATGCTCATGCATGACTCATATAGCGATGTAAATAGTGGAGAACAAAATGTTGTTTTAGACGAAAATTTTCGTCAAATAATGAGTGGTGTTTCAGAAGCGTACAGTAATGCTGAATCATGGCAATCGAGACGAGAGATTCTCTCAATCGTTGCTTCGAAGATATCGTTAAAGCTCATGCAGTTGTTCATACCAGGTTTAACTGGTTACAGATTTTCTGCAGCACCTTTGCACGCTGCCAAATACGGTATTGGCTCGAGAGTTGAGGCAACAACAAAAGTTGTACAACGGTTTGATGATCATCAAATCGTTCACTTTGTTGATTTTATTGCTTCACCTCACGTCTGTCCAGATTTACCTTTTGGTGAAAAAATATTGAAGCCGTCTTCTGGAATCGAGTTGTTCGTTCCAAACACCATAAGAAACATGGGGGCAGCTCGTATTATCGATCAATATCTATCTTATTGTAAAGAGATGTGTTCAGATTTTGAACCACTCGGTAAAAATAGCCTGTTTACTATTCTCGAAACTTGTAAAGCATCAACAAGAAAGTCTTTATAGGATATTAACTACTTCGCAGCTGAAGGTGGCGAAGCATTTGATGGTATAAGAAAAATGATCGAAGAGAAAGTCGCACTGTGTAGTAATAGTGATCGACTTATTGAGAATTTGAAACGTGCTCGATTTTATTTGAAATCCGATTATAAAGTGCACGTAACAAGATCTAGTAATATTGCTGATCATTGTTGTATTTATGCTTTGAGTGATCATAAAAAACAAGACTTTGCACAAGAGTGTGATCACGAGCACGATGAATCGTCTATTGAATGCTCGAATCTAACGAGCACTTTGAATGAAATTGAACGATTCATCGAGGAAACAGAAACAGACAAAGAGTTATTGGATCGGGCTTTAAAAAAATTCCGATCGTATTGTGAAGCCATTGAAGCATGGAAAGCTCACTTGCTAAGATCCATTAATCAAGATTTGTGTCGAGAAAATTTACTCGGCAAACTATCGAATAATGAGATTTATCTCAATCTTGATTGGGCTATGAAGTTTGTTTCCATTAAAAGTCGAGAACCACAGTCCGAATTTTTCGAAAAACGAGGCATCAATTGGCATATTACTGTAGTAAGGAAAACTGGTGCGAGTGTGGTAAGTGGTAACAATACATTAGATACAAACAGTGATGTCTCAGATACTGTTCAACAAGCCAATGAGCATGAAATGACTGACTTTTCTCAAGAAAATGAAGATGATGACAGTATCATCAATAAAATAGAAGGGTGTGGGTGTGAGTGTGGGTGGGTGTGGGTGTGGGTGTGGGTGTAGGTGTAGGTGTAGGTGTGGGTGTGGGTGTGGGGTGTGGGTGTGGGTGTGGGTGTGAGGGATCTCTTCAGTTACAGCCACAGCCACAGCCACACCCCACCCAATAATGATGGGCTTTCTACCTTACAAATAATCTCTACTCTTACAATATATTTTCGAGTGTGAGTGTTTTGTTGATATTCAGCTTACATTCATACATCTCAAGATAGAATGTGACCCGTTGACATAACTGAATGAATATATCCATACTTACTTTTTAGAAAATGATAAGATTTTCATAATCATTGGAAAAAAAAGAAAGACTATTACGAAATATGAAGAATTACCTGTCTGTTACTTTCTATTTCATCTAAAAAACTGGCTCTTTGATTCAATATGAAAACTATCTAACGAGGAAACATATTTGAGTTTATCCACGCCGAGAAGAATTCATAACATTCTATCCTATAGGATCACCCATGAGTATCTTAGATATGAATATCTTAACTGCCCTCGTTTAGATTTGATAAAGAATAAGACATTTTTTCGGCAAGTTCGTTGAAATTATCATTTGTTTCTTAGAAAACAATTCTAGAAAATGAACAAGATTCATTTTTTCAAAGCTATCTCTCTGTCAAAAACAAACGGTAGTTTTATATTTGTGTGGATATGGGTTTTGTTTGAAAATACTCACAATCTAGTTGATCAGCGTGAAATTAATTTGCGAACAAGAGATAATATCTTACAATTACACTAGCTTATTCATAAATGCTTATCCTCCACTAGAACTTCTCTTTAATAAATATACCTATTCTACTATTGGATGTAATGAACAGATGTTTATATGTTGCAGTTGATGCAATGAAACTTGATGTTTTCAACATGTTTTTTTTCACCAAAAATCCTAAACGTTTTTAGTTTATTTCTTTATATGTTTTCCATTTCTTTGGGTTTCATTGCTCCATACAAACCTGATAATCATTAGCAAATTGTCGAAAAAGAAAAGTTAGATAGAAAACAAATATAAAACTACTGCTATTGATAGAGAGATAGCTCCAAAACAAAAATGAATCTTGTTCATTTTCTAGAATTGTTTTCTAAAAAACCAATGATAATTTTAACGAACTTTCCGAAAAAATGACTTAGTTGTCCTGAAACCTAAAGGAGGGCAGTAAGATATTTATATCTGAGATACTCACGACAAATGACGTTAACACGTATCTTCTAATATAATTAAATAATTTTAATATATAATTCATTAATTGAACGTATTTCATTCATAGCAATCAGTTTCGTGAAAATACCTACAAAAATTATCATGTGTTCTATAATGCTGCTTATAAAATTACATTAAGGTAAATAAAAGATATTAACGTTTTTTAAGACTTCAATTAGAATAAGCAGCTTCTTAGTGTCACCGTATGTTTGATTTTCTTCACGTTGAAGATGTACATATCAATATGATTAAATGTAGAACAAAAAAAAGCAAAATAAAAATAAATAAAGTTTCAAACAATCACACAAATATGTCTATTGATATTCTGTCATTAAAAAACAAAATCTATTGATGAAAACGTTCATTGTAAATCAATATCAAGTTTTTTACCAATTGATAAAAATATTTGTTCTAATGTTGTTTGTGATATTGTATATGTTTCAATATTTAAATTTTGTTTATGTTGTTCAAGTAATTCAAATAGATCTGCTGGTGTACTTTGTTTAATTTGAAATGAACCTGTTGAATATGCTATTTCTCTAGTTTCAACATTCAATTGATTTTGTGATAATAAAAATGATTGAACATTTTGAATCATTGTCATGTTTGTATCATTAGATATTGAACGAACTTTAATTTCAATTGTATAACCTTGACTAAATTTTGATTTCAAATGTTGAATTGTACCCAAACAAGCTAATTGACCATTAAACATGATACCAAGACGATTACATACACGTGCACTAGAAAAAATAAAAATAAGTAAATCAATTAAACTAATTAATTTTTAATCATTTTTTTTACCATTCATCCATTGGATGACTTGTTAATATAGTAGTTAATTTTGCTTTAACAACATTAATAAGTATTTCTTGCATTTGTTGTCGAGCATTTGGATCAACACCACTTGTTGGTTCATCAAGGATTGCTACGAATGGTGGTCCTAAAAATAATTCACATATGTAATGAATTACAAAAATTTCTTTCTTTACCAATTAATGCAAGTGCAGCATGTAATCGTCGTTTTGTTCCTCCACTCAATTGATGAATATAATTTTTCAGAAATGGATCAAGTAAAAATAATGAACTAATTGTTTGAACAACAGAATTTATTCGTGAAAAATTTACACTACGTATACGTGCTAATAAATATAAACTATCTTGAACAGTTAAAAAATTCATACTGCAATTTTCTTGTGGACAATAGCCTAATTGACGTATTGATCTTAAACGACGACTAACATTGTCTATCAATATAAGCAGTACCTTCAGTTGCTAGTTCATCACCAACAAGTATACGAAATGTTGTTGTTTTATCTGCACCCTATTTATCAATTGAATTTTTATACAAAGAAAAGAAATAGTTTTTTGTTTTGTATGATATGACTTACATTATAACCAAGTAAACCAAATGCTTCACCACGTTTAGCGCCAAATGTTAAATGATTGACAGCACAAACATTACGACCAGGAAAACGTTTAACAAGATCATGAACTGTTAAATGATCGGTATCATGTCCTTCTTCATTATTATCTGCATTCAATAGATTTTTATTTGTTGCTGTATGATTTAAATTTAAAACTCGACGACGTTCTGCTAGAACATCACTATCAAGAGTATTTTCATCAAAATGTAAAGGATTTGTTAAACATGATAAGTTCATTCGAAATTTGAAGTAACCACTATCCATAGCAATTAAGATTAATAATAAAATAATCAAGGGGGAAAAAGCGGATCCCGGATCCCGTTGGATCCCATTGGATCCCGTGGATCCCATTGGATCCCGTGAATCCCAGTGGATCCCGTGGATCCCAATGGATCCCACTGGATCCCACTGGATCCCGGTGGATCCCAGTGGATCCCAGTGGATCCCAGTGGATCCCGGTGGATCCCAGTGGATCCCAGTGGATCCCAGTGGATCCCGGTGGATCCCAATGGACGTTTTTAAATGTTTCTGAGATTATATTAACTTTCAATTTCACTCGCTCAACTCGCACATGCATCGATTAAGGGTGAGATAGTTAAGCGATATTATTTTTCAATAGTTACTCTTATCATTTTTTCCTGTTAATGTCTGCTTCATGAGACAGATTCTCGGAATTATTATCATCTTGTAGAAAGTTGTTCAAAAGTTTGTTACTGTCAAGAAAAAGGCTAAAACGTGGTAGGTAGTTGGAATTACATATAACATATAAAAGTGAAATTTTAGTCTAATAAAA